GGGCGGGGGGCACCTGGCTCCCTCCAGCACTGGCTCCTGCCTGCCCCCACCCTCACGGACTCTGTATTGGTTCCCAGCTACCCCCCTCATCCTACACACTGCTGCCTCTCTATTGGAAGCAGCAGCGTGGGGTGGGTGGAGGCAGATCCAGTGCTCATGGGGAACTGGGCACTGGCTCCCACCTCTTAACTGCGTTCTGTATTTAGTATGATAATGCTAAGAGAAGGCAATGGTGATCTGTATTGCCCAGGAATGGCTACCGGATTTGAACTACTGCACATTTGTTGGTAATTTGATTTGTTCAAGGGTTCAACAGTAAAAGTCTGGTGTAGGAACGCAACTTTCAACTAACCCTGACTGCTGTGTGAGAGCTCATAAGTTATCATACAGAAATAACATGAGTCCATCTAGCAAAATAACCTGCAGGCAAAGCTCACATGTACAACCATAAAGACATGCAAAGTATTTTTAGGACATTAATGTGTAATAGAACATGATTTACTAATGTAAATATTACTCCCTGAATAACTTATAGACTAGGCGTTTGTTAATTTAATATTTTACTATTCCTATGAGAGAAAAATCTCCAAACTAAAAATTTTAGAAACAGAAAATCATGCGTTCCTCACATTTTTGCAACATTTAAACCAAAAAAAGGTTTCACTTGGGCCAAAAGTGAGGGGATTAGTTATGTAATATAACTTACCTCTTCATTAATGTCAATAACATCCCCCACCTTGAGCTCCAGTTCATCCTCGTTCTGTGGAATATACTCAAACTGCACTTTACACTGCCGCTTCTTTAACTCTGGTGGAAGGGACATTATAAAAACAATTAAAATTAAACTGCCTATAATTGTGTATTTTTCCATATTCAAATCTTTGAAGGATCATATTTGAACATACACTTATAAATCACCCCAAGGAGCTAACTACAATTCCTTAGTTTCTAGTTTTCCAACTGTCCTCTTACATCAGTATAAATCCAGCTCTGAGCTAGATGACGGCTTCCGTTTGTAAGCTTTACAGTCTGCCAATTACATGGGAGTAAACATACTGTACTACCAATTACCAGCACACTAACAGAAAGCTTTATTGACATGACTGAGTCATAGATTAATAGTCCAATTATTTTCAAACTTCTTCTTATGAGAAGACTGCAACAATCAAAACAGCTGTCAGCTACCTGATACCTATAGTGCTGTTCCAGGCATTGGGAGTAATTCTGGTGCACACACATTTATTCATTTGAAGTTTTATGACGACATTCCTAAAGGCACCCATCTCTACAAAAATGTCATATGATCTGCAGGGCAATGAAATATTGCCAGTCTTTGCATGAAATAAACATACCTTGTTAGGCATTAATTTGGGGGGTAATGATATTGTTTTCCCTGTGCATTCTGAATCTGAACCTGATTTTAAAAAAGCATCCATGTCACTGGACTTCAATCAAAACTATCAAAACTCTCAAACAAACAGTCACTGACTCTAGGCAATAAAATTGTTTTCCCAGCTCCAAAATGTAAATCAGAATACGAAGCCTACAGTTTGATCAACATTAAGTGGCACAAAATGAAGCTAGGAAGAAAACATAACCCATTGATAGGATATTTCACAGAAGTTACACAACTATACAAATATTAAAGAACTGACAACATTATAGTAAAAGAAACTTGGAGGTTAGGTCCATCAATGGCTATTAGCCAGGATGGGTAGGAATGGTGTCCCTAGCCTCTGTCAGTGGCTGGGAATGGGTGATGGGAAAGGAACTGCTTGAAGATTCCCTGTTCTGTTCATTCCCTTTGGGGCATCTGGCATTGGCCACTAGCGGAAACCAAGATACAGTAAAACTCCAATAGTCTGGCATCAAAATGGCAAGAGCCTAATGAGTGAGCTTCAGCAAAAAATGAGTCACAAGGTAACAGCGGCAGCAGCTGAACTGAGCAAAAAGGGTAAAAAAAGGCTTTAAAAAACTAAAATATTACAGTATACTGTATACAGTATGTATAATAAAAAGGGTTAACACTACTTTATATACAGTATATAAAGTATACAGTATATATATAAGCAGCTTATAGTACCTCCTGATAGTCCAGCATATTTGATAATCCGGCACCACCTAGGTCCCATAGGTTCTGGATTATCGGAAGTCTACTGTACTGGGCTAGATGGACCTTGATCTGACCCAGTATGGCCGTTCTTATGTAAATCTCAAGCAGCTTGCACTAGCCCCACAAACCAAATTTGTACATCTCAAGATTATAGTTTTTCAAATTAATATTGAAATGACACTACTGTAGATGTCTTGATGGTTTCTTCTTTTCCACTGAAAGTTTTTCAGCGTAAATTTTCTAAGGCAATTTCTACCTTGAATGAATATTTCATGCTTGAATGAATATTAGCAGCAGTGTTGTATATGTGATACAGGAAGTAACTGTCCTATTTTACTAAGCATTGGTGATGCCTCAGCTAGAGTACAGCGTCCAGGTTTGGGCCCCACACTTTAAAAATGTGGACAAACAGGCGAGTGTAACCAGAGTTAAGGGGGGGGAAAAAAGATTTAGAAAAATCTGACCTATAAGAGAATGTTTAAAAAAAATGGGCATGATTAGTCTTGAGAAAAGACAACTAAGAGGGGGACCTGCTAACAACCTTCAGAGATATGACGAGCTGTTATAAAGAGGACGGTAACCAGTTCTCCGTATCTACTGAGGTAGAGCAAGTAATAAGATTAATCTGCAGCAAAGGAGATTTAGGTTAGATATTGAAGAAAACTTTCCCACTATAAGGATGGTTAACAGGAAACAGTTTAAAAGGAAAGTTGGGGAAACCATATAATAAAAGGTTTTTAAGGACAAGTTAGACAAACACCTGTCAGGTATGGTCTACATATACTTGGTCCTGCCTCAACAGAATGGACTAAAACTATGGCCTCTTAAGATCCCTTCCAGCTCTACATTTGATGATTTTATTATTATTTGTATTCTAGTACTGCCCTCCTACTGATGGACACTGTCACCACAGAAAAACAATTCCTGACACCAAGACCAAATTTAAGAGAGCATATTAAAGCCATGGGGCAACAATCTTTATTTACATGATACACGTTGCCTTTTGGTTTCTAAAGTACACAGTTGCTACACTTGCCTATCCCTACCTCTATACCTCAGAAGGAGAAAAGCTATGTGACTTGAAAATAAAACCTTAAAAGTTCGTTTTCCTGTTGAAATGATCTAAAAGTGGCCTTAGATTACAGAACTGCCCAAAATTCCCAACTAGGACTGATAACCTATTACATGAAGGGACATACAACTCCATAGGAAAACATTTATAATTTGATAGAGAAGACAAATAAGCAATATGTTCAAGATCTGTATACTCTGGGTTACTTGCTAAAATATCTTCCCTAATCTGCCCTATTTCCCTACCAATTCAGTGCCCCAGCAAATCTGTGCCATGGGTACCAGCACATATACCCCATTGGCCAGAAATAGGTTATGGTTTAGCCCAAGAATGTGTTTAAAAGATACCCACATGCATCCCAATCAATGAGTGTTCTTGTGCTACTTACTGATTACTGAAATGTACAAGAGCCTTGTTGGCCTCTCCTGCCTTGTCACTATCATTCCAGGCAGCTTCAGTTGCCCTCCTGTCAGAATGAGGGCATGTGACTACATGTGCTTTGTGAGCACCATTGGTCAGGAACAGGGGCCAGCAAGAATTAAAGAAACTAGTTGAATGTGTGGTCAATGCTACATAGTTCCACCACTCCACTTAATGGTACAGAGCTAAAGAGGCTAATTGGTATAGAAGGGAGCAGTTTGTTATGTTTTGGTGGTGTACTAGAACTTCATGTAATTTCCTAGATGAATCATTACTGTAATAGTGGTCTCCAAACTCTGGGGAACACCCCTCACAGGGGCATGGAGGAACATTCAGGTAGGCGCAGCAGAGCTCAGATCAGCCCCCAAATGAGGTGCAGAGGGAGCGCTTCTTGATTAAATACATGCATCATGTTAGGAATTAATTTGAGGGTAATGATAGTATTTGTTTTGCCTGAACAATATGGCCCCCAATCCCGGTCCACAGCTCAACCCAGCTCCCATCTTCTGACTTGGCTCCTGAAGGGAAGCACTGACAGAGAGAGGAGGGACAAAAAGTTGCTCTGAGAAAAAAAAAGTTTCCACTCAACTTGAGAGCTATTTCACCAGTAAAAAGTCATAGATAGGAAATACAGGACTAAATTTTTAGTTAAAATTAGCCTTTATTCTAACATTTTATAGCCATACACATTATTCACATGTATTACAGTCTTCCAAGGATGGAAGATACTACTATGTAAATGTTGATGACATTTTGCTCAATTTCAAAAATATTTTAACTTAGTACAATAGACCGTCTTAAATAATATGACCCCAAGCATGATCCTGTCTCACAAAAGAACTCTTTGTTTGATCTGCAGATTCTTTAGCATATTACCATATAAGGATTTGAGCTTAATTAGTCTTCAGAAGAGAAGAGTGAGAGGGGACTTGGTAGCAGCCTTCAACTACCTGAAGGGAAGTTCCAAAGAGGATGAAGAGATGCTGTTCTCAGTAGCGACGGATGACAAAATGAGGAGCAATGGTCTCAAGTTACAGTGGGGGAGGTCTAGGGTGGATATTAGGAAAAAATATTTCACTAGGAGAGTGGTGAAGCAATGGAATGGGTTACTTAGGGAGGTGGTGGAATCTCCATCCCTAGAGGTTTTTAAGTCTGGGCTTGACAAAGCCCTGGCTGGGATGATTTACTTGGGACTGGTCCTGCTTTGGGCAGGGGGCTGGACTCAATGACCTCCTAAAGTCTCTTTCAGCCCTAGGATTCTATGATGCTATTATTCTAACAACTTCACTTCATTGGGTAAGAGAAGCAATGATGAAGAACACATGCAATCAGAGAGTAATGCAAAGTCAAAATACATTTGAGCTCTTTTAATTAAATTGAGATTCTCTCCTTTGAACAACTTCACAAAGGTCTAGACAGTCTGGCAGTAAAAAAGTTAAAGACAGTTAACATAGAAACTCAGAGTCACTAGGTGAAATTAGGAGGTAGCAGGTTTAAAACAAATAAAAGGATGTTTTTCTTCACGCAGCACAGTCAACCTGTGAAATTCCTTGCCAGAGAGGTTGTGAAGACCTGAACTCTAACAGGGTCCAAGAAAGAACCAGATAAATTCATGGAGGTTAGGTTCATCAGTACTTAGTAGCCAAGCAACGGTGTCCCTAGCCTTTGTCAGGGGCTGGAAATGGATGACAGGAGAGGGATCACGTAAGGATTACCTGTTCTGTTCATTCCCTCTGGGGCATCTGGCACTGGCCACTGTCAGAAGACAGGATATTGGGCTAGACGGACCTTTGGTCTGACACAGTATGGCTGTTCTTATGTTCTTAGGATAGTAAGATATACAAGGTGGTGGCTTAAGAGACCCAGTAACAGCTATGCTCAGAGAAGGACTAAATTCCTTTGAGGGAAGGCATACTGTTACTTAGTCACCAGGAGTTTATTTAACACTATGACTTGTAAGAAGCACTTGTCTTCCACTCAGCTCTGACACAGGATGATTATCTAAACCCGTGGTCCCCAACACAGTGCCCACGGGCGCCAAGGCGCCCACGGGGGCATTTCCATGCGCCCGCCAGGTGCTCGGGGCTGGCCTGGCACCGGGCGCTTGGCGGGGGGAGCGCCGGCCCCGGGGGCGCAAGTGTCCCCGCCCCCTGGTGCCCGGTGGGCGAATGGCCACGGCCCCTGGCGCCCC